TTTATGACGAATGATCGATCGAATATGAGGGTCCGCCTCTTTTTAATAACGAGGGGCCGCCTGAATATCAAGCTACTCCTTCTTTTTATGGCGAGGAGACGACTTGTTTTGATGACGAAGTTATCGACACAATAACGTATGTTGCTCAAATGCAAAAGTTTTTTCCCATTAGGTCAGCAGAGGGGATAGTGGTTGACGACTAGGTGAGTATGTCGAGGGCGATGTACGCACAGCTGGTGCATCAAAAGCTTCAGGCTACAAGTTGCTTTCCCATGCCAGATAGGAGCATTGTAGAAAAAAATATAGAGACAGAATTGGGGATGTAGATTACTAGTGGTTTTGCACTGATGTATCCATGGAGTGATATTCAACATCATGTTGATTCAGTGATGGAGACAAGATTGTGTCAGATTCGAGGCCGAATACTTCTCATGGGGGGAAGGGGAGAATCATGGACAAGAGATTGCGTTGGTCTTTCTGGACAAGCACGATCTTTTTCCATCATTGATTTAATTAATTTATTCTTTTTATTTTATTATTATTAGTTCTAAATTTGGTAGGAAATATTTTTAATTACAAGAAAGATATTTATCCTAGTCATTTTCTTGGTAGAGAAGTCATTTCATTATGATTTTTAGGAGATCTATTTAAGACTCATATTCTATTGTTTGAAGGGGAGATAATTTTGATTGAATAAAATGTATTGAGAGTTTTCTCTTGATTCTCCTAATCGTTTACGATTTCACTACATCAGATTGCCATGAAAAAGCCATAGGAAGGTCAAAAAAAAAAAAATTAAAAATAAAAATAAAAAAAATAAAAAATCTTTCCCTTTGAGGAAATATTTAAAAAAAATATAAAATGAATAAAAAAAATAACAAAAAGAGTAAAAAGCAAACATCTTTTTTCTATATATAAGCTCCACAAGTGATCAAAGTTCACTCCCAACTTAGCAGAAAATACAACACTCACCACACATACATTTAAGCACAAAATTAGCATATTCTGTTTACCATCATTAATTGACTCGCCGGAAAATAATGGACTCCTTGACGAGGCTAACGGCCGACAAGCCGGTGGTAATATTCGGCAAGTCCAATTGCTGCATATCCCACACCATTAAGACACTCATATGCAGCTTTGGAGCAAATCCAACGGTTTACGAGCTTGACGAAATGCCCAACGGGCAGCAGCTCGAGCTGGCAATCTTGGCGTTTTCCGGTCAGCAGAAGAGCCTTCCGGCAGTGTTCGTCGGAAAAAAACTGGTCGGTGGAGCCGATGAGGTCATGAGCCTTCATGTGAAAGGGGAGTTGGTCCCTTTGCTCAAGAAGGCTAAAGCTATATGGTTATAGACTTAAAAGTAACCTTTTTTTTTTCTTTTTGAGACAAATTTTATCAATAAGTAGTAATTAACTTTTCAGACAGAGGATCAACCATGTTAATTACAAAAGTAGGAGAGTGAAGAGTGTTGGTGAGAACTCTCATGTATGGGAAAGGAGGGTCATTATCTTATAATGTAATGACTGCATATTTTTTCCCATGTAATTTTGATATTTTGTATTGTATCTCAATGTTTACCTTCTAATATAGTCCTAAATAAGGTAATCTTTCTTGCTAAAATTGAATTAGATGATCTAGCATGATGTCGATTTTCCCTAACAAGCTCGATTGAGAAATTTCAGTGAATGTAAAGCATTCGTGCATATTCTGAATTTTACAAACGCTGCCCTGAAAAGGGCCTAAGCTTACTGGGAACCTTTTGTAGTTTTATTGCCCAGATTGCGAGAAGCCAAAAAGCTTTTAGATTGTGCAGATGCCGCATTCAGCATCAACACTTCTGTTAAATTCTATTAATAAGTTGTATGTGACAAATAATGAGTTCCTTTAGGAAATTATAACAATTTAAATCGTTTCATTGAGGAAATTGAACAGCAGTTTACTTACTTTCCCTAATGGCATTTGGTGGACTTGGGCTGATAAGATGGTTATCTTTTACTTGATTTGAGTATGAATATAAGGACATTGTACTATGCTCAAACTCTAAGCATGATTGTCAAAAGGGGTGAGAAAATCCAAAGATGTTTGGGCTTCAGAAGATACTTCAAAAGATTATGAAGAAGAAGAAGATCTGGCTATGGATCACAATTTGCTTCTCATACTAGTGTATATATAGCTACTAAGTACTAAAAGAAACCATCAACCAATTACCAACTCATCAAAAGAGTGAAAGACCATTCTGCAACTCCAATGCAACCAAAGAGAAATAAACATTGTAACATAGAAAACAAGATTCAGGAAATAATGCTCTTAAGTCAACAAACAATATCATCAACAAACAAAGATGTTTGGGATTCAGAAAATACTTCAAAAGATTATGAAGAAAAAGAACATCTGGCTATGAAACCCAATTTACTTCTCATACTAATGTATATATATAGCTATTAGCTACTAACAGAAAACCATCAACTAACTCATCAAAATACTGTTCTGCAACTCCAGTTCAACCAAAGAGGATTATAGATGTAACATAAAAAACAAGATTCTGGAAATAATGCTCCTAAGTCAACAAACAATATCATCAACAAACTTCACCAATCGACCAGAAACCATTTCAGGAGGTGCAAGCCAGGATTTTATTACCTCGATAAATGCCCAAAAGTTCGGGAACATCCTTCTTGTACTTCTCGATATAGTTCTTCAAGAAAATCTTCTCGGACATTGACAGCAGGGATGTGATAGTCACATTCTTCAGCCCCTTCTCATTCAAAACCTCAGCAACTGCCCACCTCGGCTTCATTCTCTTTTCGAGGCTGTACCCAAGAATCCAAGAGCAACGGGCCACGTCACCAGGTGCCCACCCTAATTTATCAACCAGAAAACCCATACACTCCACTATATTCTTCTCGGACAATGTCATACAAAACGGCTGACTCAGAAAGGCGGTCCTGATGTCGGATTCTGACCAGCCGCACTTTCTATAAACCTCCATCTTGCGCTTAAGGGTCGACTCATTCAAACACACCAAAACCTGAATGGCCTTAAAAAATGCATTATTGGACACATCAAACCCCATTTCTATTGCTCGACCCACGCACGAGGATAACTTCTCCTGAGGAGCCAAGAGCGTTCTTGGCTGGTACGTGAACAGTGACATGAGAGATGGCCGAGGAACCCCGCAGGCCACGAAAAATGAGAAGTTGGACAAGATGTCGTTGGTCCGGCCCCAGTCGAAGAACTGGGGAGCCCGTTTAAAGACTTGAACGGGCCCCTCATCCGACCCGAACAGGTTTTTCAGGAAATCGTATAACGGGATGATTGAGTTCTCAAGGCTGCGCCATAAGATGCCAGGGTACCGGGACAGCCTGCTGGCCAGGATGGGGAGGGGGACGCCAATGGAGGCGAAAAACTCAAGCTTGGGCAAAAGGGTTTTGTCTGGGCAGGCAGAGAGAACGTTCGGCAACCGGGTGACCATTACAGAGATGTCGGCGGCCGTGAATCCGTACTCTCTCAGGAGATTCAAGACCGCGTCCGGTTTTTCAGGCGATTTCAGCTGGACTTTACTGGAGGCGCGGACGGCGGCTTCTGGGGCCAACCCGCATGAGCTGACGAGGTAGGAGAAGGTAAAGGATTTCACAGGGTCATTTTCGCGAACACCTTGCGGTGGTTTCCCAGTGGTGAACGCCCTGACTGCATTTTCAGAAGTCCGAAATCGAGAGGTGGCGAAAATAGAGAGATCTGGTGGAAGCCTGAGTCGTCTGCCACGGAAAATGGCGAACATCGATTCGAAAACCGATTTTGAATTCAAGGGACTTGGTGAGCCGACAAGCAGACGGAGGGTTTGAACATGCGCATCGATATATGCAGATGCAGTCTTTTTCGGCGATTTAGAGTGAAAGCGTTTTTCTTGAAATTTCCGAGGGAAGTGAATATATCGCATTTGACAATCAGCAATATTTGTGTTCAATTTGATTTACCTATATATTTCGTTCTATGTTTTCTGTTTTTAGCATTATCAAGGAAATAAGAGCACTCTCAAATCTAAATGGATAATCTATACTTTTACTATTTACCAGATTTAGTATAAAGAAAAAGTCAACAATATTTATTGCATTACTATTTTCGTATTATACAATCTATAATTATATAAAAGGAGATTCTATTTACTACATTTACTATCCAAAAAAGTCAACTACATTAAATGGCATTACTATTTTGGTATTATAATATTTTATTTATTTAATTAATTTATTTATTTATTTTATTTTAAAAGGTAAATATAATAAAAAGATTTTAATAATAAAAAAATCAAATACCAAATAAAAATGTACACTTTGACTTATTTGATTATATTTGATATTTGATTATACCAAATATATTCCTATTTAGTATATACATTAAATACTTACTAACGTATTTATTTGTTTTATTTGTCAAAGTTAAGTATAGATTTGTTTATATTATCAAATCATAAAAGAATATTAAATCCATATTGTAAAAAAAAAAAAATCATATAATTTTATAACAATTCTACTACACTATTTAACAATATTTCTCTTTCATTATATAATAAAATAATAATTAAATATTATATGGTGATCAACAATATGTAAAACTGTTACTTTTTCTTATATTAAAGGATAAATTTATATGCTAAAATTAAATTTTTATTAGTATAAATGTTTTAGTGAGATAATATATTAATTATTTTACAAGCTAGTCCTAACATGCTCATATTTAATGTTTTAAAAGATGTAGACAAAAGACTTAGAATAACTCTATTGTTTTTTAGACTTAAACGTTGATTAAAAGAGGTAAAAATTCTTAATTTTTTAGACTTAAATTCCTAATTGTAATACCATAGATGACTTGATTAACACCATAGATTTTTTAGACTTAAATTCCTAATTTTTTAGACTTAAATTCCTAATAGCTGACTTGATTAACACCATAGATTGAGAGTTTATATTTAGTAAAATTCCTAATTGTAATAAAAAAATTAATTTTTGCTATATTTTAGAATATCTTTAAATTCATTATAGAAAAAAAGAAAAAAAACTACAATGAAAAAAGCAAGTCAGCTATATATCGATTTGCTTTACTCCTCAAATCACATTCACAATTTGGCTACAAACAAAGAAAACTCATTGATTAAATATTATTTTATCAGTAGTCTTAATGTACAAGAGACTTTAAAACTCCACTTGAATATTATAAAACTTTTATTGAACATTGTACAATTTTCTTGCGTATTCTAAACTTTTATTGAATATTGCATCTTATAATATAATATTCTCCAACTAAATATATCTCGTGCTTCCCACGGGTCACGTACTATATATATCCCGTACAATTTTCTTTATTCATGTATATAATTATAAGCATGGATAAATAGCTTTAAAATTGTGCACCCCGTGCATCGCGCGGGCTCTGTACTAATATATATAAAAAGATTTACTATTTACCATAAATAGTAAGAAGACAAAGTCAACACATATTAATTACATACTATTTTCAACTATTTTTTATTTTATGTTTTAATTCACTTTCCAAAAAATCGGTTGGCCTTAAATTTTTAGCTATTTTTCATTTCATGTTTTAATTCACTTCCCAAAAAATCGGTTATTGTGTATCTAATTTACAGGCACACATAATATATGAGTTTTTAGATCAAAACATAATCTACTTTAGATTATATCTTACTTTATATAATTAAATATTAAAAATGGGTCATATTATAAAATCAGGTATAAACTTTATTATGTCTTCTCCTTTTTTATTAAAAAAAAAAACTAATTGCAAAGAAAATCGAATGCAATATTTAATTGATAATTTAAAATTCTAAATTCCTTGCCACTCGATTGCCATAAAATCGAATAATAAATAATCACATATAATAGATGTAAAATGTGGCTCATCTATAATTTGAATTGGAAAAAATCAAATCACATATATTTATATAATTGAACAACCTAATTAATGAATTTTTTTCAAATTCCGATAGATCTTGAATTCAATATCAAATCAACAACATAATTTCACATGGTTCGGACTCTTTTGAAGTATTCCAAAAATTCAGATATCTCCAAATTTTGATTTCAAATTACAAATAACTGTTGACTATTATCTTGGAAATAGATAGAATATCCTTTTTAATAAGGAGTCTTTCTAAAGAAGAATTTGATTTACTTAATTCTCTTTGTCATAATTGATGAATTTTTCATGCTATTTTTTTTAATAGATACAGGATGAATTTGCTCATCTCGGACTCTATTGCAAATGCCACTATTGTTCTTTGGGATAAAGAATCAGAGATCATAATTGGAAAATCATGTCATCCTTTTATGACAACATGTTTAATAATTTATAGATACTTATATATCATTTCATTAATATTTATGTAAATAAAATAATATTTTATTATAATTTTATTAATATACAGTAAATATAAGGTTTTTAGAATCGGACCCTCATCAAAACAATCAAAGTTATTTTATTATATCATTTGTGGTTTGTTTAGATTTTAATTTATAAACATTTTAATATTTTATAATTAATTAAATATCTAAACAATTTATAAATTCAAATGTTTAAATTAATTGATAAAAAGTTTATAAATATCTATTTTATTTAAATATGTAATTTTATTTAAAATAATTTTAAATGTAGCAAAATCTATTTAGAAAATCGTATCGATCCTACCAGTCCAACCGATCGGTGTTGAAGGATTCGATAGCAAATATTTTATTCAAGCGAACTAGACTGGTTATAAACCGGTTCCCGGTCCATCCGGTCGGACTGTGTCCAACCCGATTTAATTTAAAAATAATAGGTAAATCATGATTAATGTTTCTTATATATTTAATCATAATACAATCGTAATGTTGTTGGTCCGTGCATCGCACGGGCCACGCACTAGTACATTTTAAGCTTCAGCCAAGTTTTGGTGTAACTTCTAGTGCGTTGTAATTATGTGCTCCCTAATTATATCTAATCGCTCCAACTCTATATGTCTATTTGCGGTATGTTAGAGTGGCGGATCTAGAAAAATAAATTATGGGGGATTGGAATAATTTTTGATAAACCCCAACCTTTTTCCACTCAACAAAAGGTCGGGGATTACAATTACACGTATTTTATGTATTTCCACTCAGTAAACTAAAAGTTCAACGTGGATATAACTAGTCGAACACGATGGCATTTTTGAACGTCTTGCGAAATTTATGTTCATTTTGCAAAAATAAGTCAAGGTTAGGATTATATTGTAATTATCCAAAAGTTGGGATTACATTGCCAAATGGAAAAAGTTCGGGGTTTATTTAGCAAATAACCCTATATTTAATAACAAAGACATAAAGTTGCAATTTTAGAATTAAAAAAAAAATTACTAAAAAATTCATACCTTTCAAAGTTCGCTACTACTAGAAATATTTGAGAAATGTCTTATTTAAAAAAAAAAAAAGAAAAAAAAAAGATGCAAAACAATGTATTGAGCATCATCAGAAATTCTGTGAGCATCATTGCTACATTATTAAGTTTAAAGAGCAAAAATGGAGATTTTAATGTCAAACTGGTTGAATAATGTTCAAACTATCAATTATGCCTGAACATTACATATTCTCGACCGAATTATCAAAATCTAGATTCTTCATACATTCAACTTGATTACAACTTGTCAAGACCCACATGGGTCGCGTTCCCTGGTGTCTATAAGTTGTCCTTTGACGTTCGAGTGTGTCCATTCTCGTCCAGGCATGTCCCAAAAGTTGTGTTTTAACACTAAACCCCTACATCTATAATTACTCCCATGCATAAATCATTCAATGCACTTGGAATTAATTATCTCTTACATTACATTTTTCAAAGTTTATATAGCATATTGTGTTATTTAATTTTTCATTGAATATTGAAATTTCAAACATTAGTATTGTTCGTCGAAAGTATATGTAATATATATGTCAAAAGTTGTAGTATCTTGAGGGCGTCTGTCACTAACCGTGTGAGTATTTTTCAGAGCAATTTAATTTTAAGGAAAACGTAATTACTACATGCCTAGACTTTCATTTTTGCTTCTATTTTCTTGAATATCACATGCCATCCAATAAAAAATATTAAGGCGAAAATTGGCGAGTTCATCATAAGGCAACCGAAGAAAGAAAGCGTTTTTCAATTGCTAGGCCAAGTTCTACGCCGGCTATCAAATCATTCACTTGGATGGAAGCCAGCCCCAATACAAGGCAAGGGACCGCCAGAATTCAACGGCTCTAATTTTAAGAGGTGATAACAAAAGGTGTTATTTTATCCTAACACCCTTTTTCTTTCTCGTTTCCTCACGAAAGACCCTTCATTTGTTCCTCAGGAAGACATAGATACATGAAGCGTATGGAGCCAGATGTTTGGCGATAATGATTTTTGTGTAGAAGTCTCATACTTAAAGGACTAGACGATGTGTAAAGTCCAGTTAGGACTTCCAATGAATTATGGTCGACTTGAGCTGATAAGATGGTTATCTTTTACTTGGTTTTGAGCATGAATACAAGGGGACAATGTACTGTGCTCAAACTCTAAGCATTATTGTCAAAGGTGTGAGTAAATCCAAAGAGGCTTGGGCTTCAGAAAATACATAAAGCGATTATGAAGAAAAATAACATCTGGCTATGAAACCCAATTTACTTCACTTCTCATACTAATGTATATATAGCAATTAGCTACTAACAGAAAACCATCAACCAAATCATCAAAATACTGTTCTGCAACTCAAGTTCAACCAAAGAGGATTACCAATGTAACATAAAAAACAAGAGACTGGTAATAGTGCTCCTAAACCGGTAAACAGAATCATTAATTAACTTAACTCATCGACCAGAAATCAATTCAAGAGGTGCAAGCCAGGATTTTGTTACCTCGATAAATGTCCAAAAGTTCGGGAACATCCTTCTTGTACTTCTCGATATAGTTCTTCAAGAAAATCTTCTCGGACATTGTCAGCAGGGTCGTGATAGCCACATTCTTCAGCCCCTTTTCATTCAAAACCTCAGCAACTGCCCACCTCGGCTTCATTCTCCTTTCGAGGCTGTACCCAATAATCCAAGAGCAACGGGCCACATCACCTGGTGCACACCCTAATTTATCAACCAGAAAACCCATATTCTCCAAAATCTTCTTCTCGGACAAGGCCATACAGAACGGCTGACTCAGAAAGGCGGTCCTGATGTCGGATTCCGACCAGCCGCACTTTCTATAAACCTCCATCTTGCGCTTAAGGGTCGACTCATTCAAACCCATCAAAACCTGAATGGCCTTCAAAAATGCATTATTGGACACATCAAACCCCATTTCTATTGCTCGACCCACGCACGAGGATAACTTCTCCTGAGGAGCCATGAATATTGTTGGCTGGTACGTGAGCAGTGGCACGAGAGATGGCCGAGGGACACCGCACTCCAAAAGAAACGAGAGGTTGGACGAGAGGTCGTCGACCCCGCCCCGGCCCCAGCAGAAGAACTGGGGAGCCCGTTTGAAGACTTGAACGGCCCCCTCATCCGAACCGAGCAGGTTTTTCAGGAATTCATATGAGGGGATGATTGATTTCTCAAGGCTGCGCCCTAAGATGGAAGGGTTCCGGGACAGAATGCCGGCCAGGATGGGGAGGGGGACGCCAACGGAGGTGAAAAATTCGAGCTTGGGCAAAAGGGTTTTGTCCGGGCAGGCAGAAAGAATGTTTGGCCACCGGGAGACCACCATAGATATGTCGGCGGCCGCGAATCCGTACTCTCTGAGGAGATTTAAGACCGCGTCTGGGATTTCGGGCGATTTCAGCTGGAGTTTACTGGAGGCGCGGACGGCGGCATCTGGGGCTAACCCGCATGAGCTGACGAGGTAGGACAAGGTGAAGGATTTCTCAGAGTCATTTTCGTGAACACCTTGCTGTGGTTTCCCGGTGGTGAACGCCCTGACTGCATTTTCAGAAGTCCGAAACCGAGAGGTGGCGAAAATAAAGAGATCCGGTGGGAGCCTGAGTCGTCTGCCACGGAAAATGGCGAACATCGATTCGAAATCCGATTTTGAATTCAACGGACTTGGTGAGCAGACGGAGGGTTTGAAGATGCGTATCGGTATATGCAGATGCAGTCTTTTTCGGCGATTTAGAGGGAAGCGTTTTCTTGAAATTTCTGAGGGAAGTGAATATATCGCGTTTGCTTTTTGTGTTCCATAATTAATCGCTCCAACACTATCTATTTGCGGTATGTTACAGTAGCAATGATCTAAATTTTTATTTTATGTTTATTAAGATTTTTAAATTATAAAATTCGTGATTAACTCAACTTATAAACATATGTTAAAAGTTATTATATTTTGTAATTGTTATCGATTTTTCATATATTCATAAAAAAATAATTAGTCATTACATTAATTAAAAATTAATAAAATTATTTATCAATAAATCTATTATATGCCATGAGTTAGAAAAAATTATATAATGAAAGATGAGCACGTCATTTTAAATATCATAATAATTATTAGAAAAATAAAAATAAACACTTCTCACTTTTAAAAAATAAATATAAATTTCATAACTACCATGTGTATAATTACATGGGTGACCAAAGTGGCTCACTCGAGAGACAGCGTTATATATTTCTCATTTTCAGGCGTTGGTCGTTGAATTTTTTTTTTTATTCCAAGTTAGATTCGTGTTGTCATAGTTATATTGTTACATTAACTTTTCGCAATTATCATTCATTTCAGTTATTGTATGCCTTGGAAACTTTTATCCATCTATTTTGTCTTGACGTGATCCTTTGTTCGAAATATGTGATGAATATTGTATGTGTAAGAAAATTTGGCTTTGTACTTGTAAATCAATGACTTGGAAAATTCTCAAAATCAATATAACATGAATGAAAAGTAAATGTAGCAAAATGTGGAAAAATATAGTTTGAAACTACAAATTGAGTTTAAGTAACTAAAAAATTGTTAAATGTGCAAGCATTTGGTATTTGCAAATACTCTGGCAAATCTAACGAGTTGTAATTATGCATTGAGCATGAACTCTAATAAGGTTCAATGGGGACAAGTATGAAAAAAATTGGGCACGATTTGGAGACCGAATGAGCACGTGCGGGCTCACGGCACGTGGGCGTACAACTGGCTCCGTCACGGCCCGCGATACCTGCTCGCACCCGAGTTCAATTTTCAATTGGCAAACACTTGTCGAGACGCACATGAGTCGCGTTCCCTGGTGTCCATAAGTTGTCCTTTGTGCGTCCATTCTCGTCCAGACATGTCCCAAAAGTTGTGTTTTAACACTTAAACCCCTACATCTATAATTACTCCCATGCATGAATCATTCAATGCACTTGCAATTAATTATTTCTTACATTACATTTTTCAAAGTTTATATAGCATATTGTGTTATTTAATTTTTCATTGAATATTGAGAATTTCAAACATTAGTATTGTTCGTCGAAAACTGTATAATTCAAGTATATGTAATATATAAGTATTATTTCAAGTATATGTAATACATAATTCAAACATTAGTATTATTTCAAAAGTTGTAGTATTTTGAAAGCGACTGCAGCTAACCATGAATATTTTTCAAAGCAATTTCATTTTAAGGAAAACGTAATTACTGCATGCCTAGACTTTTCATTTTTTCTTCTATTTTCTTGAATATCACATGCCATCCAATTAAAATATTAAGACGAAAATTGGCGAGTTCATAATAAGGCAACCGAAGAATTAAAGCGTTTTTCAATTGCTCGGCCAAGTTCTACGCCGGCTATCAAATCATTCACTTGGATGGAAGCCACCCCCATCCAAGGCAAGGGACCGCCAAAATTCAACGGCTCAAATTTTAAGAGGTGGTAACAAAAGGTGTTATTTTATCGTAGTACCCTTTTTCTTTCTCGTTTCCTCACGAAAGATCCTTCATTTGTTCCTCAGGAAGACATAGATACATGAAGCGTATGGAGCCAGATGTTTGACGATAATGATTTTTGTGTAGAAGTCTCATACTTAAAGGACTAGACGATGTGTAAAGTCCAGTTAGGACTTCCAATGAATTATGGTCGACTTGAGCTGATAAGATGTTTATCTTTTACTTGGTTTTGAGCATGAATACAAGGGGACATTGTACTGTGCACAAACTTTAAGCATGATTGTCAAATGTCTGAGTAAATCCAAAGAGGCTTGGGCTTCAGAAAATACATGAAACGATTATGAAGAAAAATAACATCTGCCTATGAAACCCAATTTACTTCACTTCTCATACTAATGTATATATAGCTATTAGCTACTAACAGATAACCATCAACCAAATCATCAAAACACTGTTCTGCAACTCCAGTTCAACCAAAGAGGATTATAGATGTAACATAAAAAACAAGATTCTGGAAATAGTTTTCCTAAGTCAACAAAACAAAATCATCAACTAACATCACCAATCGACCGGAAACCAATTCAGGAAGTGCGAGCCAGGATTTGATTACCTCGATATATGTCTAAAAGTTCAGGAACATCCTTCTCGTACTTCTCGACATAGTTCTTCAAGAAATTCTTCTCGGACAATGTGAGCAAGGACGTGACAGCTGCATTCTTCAGCCCCGTCTCACTCAAAACCGTAGCAACTGCCCACCTCGGCTTCATTCTCTTTTCGACACTGTACCCAAGAAGCAAAGAGCACCGAGCCACTTCACCTGGTGCCCACCCTAATTTATCAACGAGAAAACCCATACTCTCCAAAATCTTCTTTTCGGACAAGGCCATACAGAGCGGCTGACACAGAAAGGCGGTCCTGATGTCGGATTCCGACCAGCCGCACTTTCTATAAACCTCCATCTTGCGCTTAAGGGTCGACTCATTGAAACCCACCAAAACCTGAATGGCCTTCAAAAATGCATTATTGGACACATCAAACCCCATTTCTATTGCTCGACCCACGCACGAGGATAACTTCTCCTGAGGAGCCACGAATATTGTTGGGTAGGACGTGACCAGTGGCACGAGAGATGGCCGAGGGACACCGCACTCCAAAAGAAACGAGAAGTTGGATGAGAGGTCGTCCACCCGGCCCTGGCCCCAGCAGAAGAACTGGGGATTCCGTTTAAAGACTTGAACGGCACCCTCATCCGACCCGAACAGGTTTTTCAGAAAATCGTATGAGGGAATTATTGACTTCTCAAGGCTGCGCCATAAGATGGTAGGGTTCCGGGACAGCCTGCTGCCAAGGATGGGGAGGGGGACGCCAACGGAGGTGAAAAATTCGAGCTTGGGCAAAAGGGTTTTGTCTGGGCAGGCAGAAAGAATGGTCGGCCACCGGGAGACCACCATAGATATGTCGGCAGCCGTGAATCCGTACTCTCTGAGGAGATTCAAGACCGCGTCTGGGTTTTCAGGCGATTTCAGCTGGACTTTACTGGAGGCGCGGGCGGCGGCGTCTGGGGCCAACCCGCATGAGCTGACGAGGTAGGAGAGGGTGAAGGATTTCTCAGAGTCATTTTCACGAACACCTTGCGGTGGTTTCCCGGTGGTGAACGCCCTGACTGCATTTTCAGAAGTCCGAAACCGAGAGGTGGCGAAAATAAAGAGATCTGGTGGGAGCCTGAGTCGTCTGCCACGGAAAATGGCGAATCGATTCGAAATCCGATTTTCAATTCAAGGGACTTGGTGAGCTGACGAGCAGACGGAGGGTTTGAAGATGCTATCGGTATATGCAGATGCAGTCTTTTTCGGCGATTTAGAGGGAAGCGTTTTCTTGAAATTTCTGAGGGAAGTGAATATATCGCGTTTGACAATTAGCACTTTTTGTGTTCAATTTGATTTACCTTAATATTTTGTTCTATGTTTTCTGTTTTTTAGCATTATCAGGGAAATTATAAGATTCTTGATTGACTCAAGTTATAAACATATGTTAAAAGTTATTATATTTAGTATTTGTTATCGATTTTTCATATGTTCATAAAAAAATTATTTATTAATATTAACTAAAAAATAATAAAGTTATTTATCAATAAATTTATTATATTACATGAGGAATAAAAATTACTATACAATATGAGCACGTTTTTTTAAATATTATAATAATTATTTGAAAAATAAAACAAACACTTCTCTCTTTTAAAAAAATAAATAAAATTTTACAACCATCACGTGTATAATTACACGGGTGACAGAAATGGCTCACTCGAAGGGCACCGTTGTATATTTCTCATTTTCAGGCACTCGTTGTTAAATTTATAATTTTTTACTATTATTATTACAGGTTAGATTCATGTTGTCATTGTTCTATTATTAAATAAACTTTTCGCAATTATCATTTGTTTCAATTATTGTGTGTATTGGAAACTTTTATCCATGTATTTTGTCTTTATGTGATCGTTTGTTCGAAATATGTGATGAATGTCGTATGTGTAAGAAAATTTGGCTTTGTACTTGTAAATCAAAGACTTAGAAAATGCTCAAAATCAATATAGCATCAATATAACATGAATGAGAAATTAATGTAGTAGATGTGGAAAAATATAGTTTGAAAAGTGGGAAAAAAAAATTTAATCTCCCAAACTATGCCGATTTTTAGTTTGTCTTACGAACTTTTTTTCTTGACAATTCGTCTCCCATAGTAATCGAAACTGACAATTTGCCTACTCGATTAAAAACCTTAATATGACACAAAAAAGTTTTAACTCAATTAATGATAAATTTTAAATTGATCTTTAAAATTGAATTAGGGCTTTTAAAGCCCAAGGCGAGACAAACGAAATGAGGTATGATTTGTCAATTTTTTAAAATTGATACCTCTGTAATCAATCGATGAAGATAGTAGGAGCTTGTATGTATAGAAAAATTTCAATTCAAGTTTTCTGATAATTACGGTATCCAATTTTGGATTAAAATGTGTCATTTGAAAGCTTGGAAGACGAGTTTTCTAACGAAGTAAATCTTATGAAAATCAAACGGTCGGATTTTGTTTAGTAGCCTAAAAAAAAGCTCACTATTGATCAATAGTTTTCTAACTACTGATCAAAATCCGGCTGTTGAATTTTCATAAAATTTATGCATTAGAAATTGGTCCTGCAAGCTTTCAAATGACACCTCTCAATCGAAAATTGGATATCTTGATTATCGGAAAAATTGAATTGAAATTTTTCTATACACCCGTGCTCCTACTATCTTCGTCGATCGATTACAGAGGTATCAATTTTCAGAAATCGACTAACCATATTTTATTTTGATCGTCTCGCCATGTGCTTTAAAAGTCCTAAATCAATTTTAAAGATCAATTAAAAATCTATCGTTAATTGAGTTAAAAACTTTTTGTGCCATGTTAGGGTTTTCAATTTAGGAGGCAAATTGTCAGTTTCGATTACTATGAGACGCAAATTGTCAAGAAAAAAAGTTCGTAAGACAAACTCTAAAAATCGGCATAGTTTGGGAGGTTAGAAAAATCTTTCCCTTGAAAAGTTTAAGTAACTAAAAAATTGTTAAATGTGCATGCATTTGGTATTTGACGAATACTTGGGAAAATCTAACGAGTTGTATTCATGCATTGAGCATGCTAGAACTCTAATAGGGTTCAATGCAGACAAGTAGGAAAAAATTGGTCACGATTTGGAGTCCGAATGAGCGCGTGCGGGCTCAGGGGTGCTATTGGCTCCATCAAGGCCAATATGGTTGAGTTACCATAATAAATTTATGGTAATTTATATGATGCCTTGATAAAATTGAATTCATTTTGAATGTTGGAATAAAAGGGAAGGGAATCTCGTATAACGATTTTGCTATAGAGTCATCGGATGGCTCAGCTTATGGAGTCATCCATAGTTATCCACAAATAGTGTATTGACACGTGTCTTGCAATAAATACACAATTGGACACGTGTCACTACATAAAGTTATGAATAATTCCATAAGGGAGCCATTCGATAACTCCATAGAATTACTGCCTTGCGTAAATAGCAAAAAGGAAAGTTACAAATGTCTGTGACTGTAAAGCCATTTCATCAGTCATTTTTTTTTTTTATTTTTTAATAAATATGTATGTCTTCATACTAAAATATCATATTTACAAAGAATAATTATACAATTCATTTGAAGTAGAGTTAGATAATCATTCATCATTACACCCTATAAAAAAACACACACACAGGTGCACAAAAGGCATAAAAATCCTCTACAGCATATCTCACAGTAAGCACCACCACATCAGAAAGGCTGGTTTAATATTTTTTTTGGAAATATATATGTACCATATCATATTATCATGTACTTTGAATTGATATGACAGCTTAAGAAATCATACACACGAGTTAAAATCACGAATAAACATTGATTACACACTGCAATTACACATCAAATGAATAAAAAATAACAAAAAGAGTAAAAAGCAAACATCTTTTTTCCTATATATAAGCTCCACAAGTGATCAAAGTTCACTCCCAACTTAGCAGAAAATACAACACTCACCACACATACATTTAAGCACAAAATTAGCATATTTTGTTACCATCATTAATTGACTCGCCGGAAAATAATGGACTCCTTGACGAGGCTAACGACCGACAAGCCGGTGGTAATATTCGGCAAGTCCACTTGCTGCATATCCCACACCATTAAGACACTCATATGCAGCTTTGGAGCAAATCCAACGGTTTACGAGCTTGATCAAATGCCCAACGGGCAGCAGCTCGAGCGGGCAATCTTGGCGTTTTCCGGTCAGCAGACGAGCCTTCCGGCAAAAAAACTGGTCGGTGGAGCCGATGAGGTCATGAGCCTTCATGTGAAAGGGGAGTTGGTCCCTTTGCTTAAGAAGGCTAAAGCTATCTGGTTATAGACTTAAAAGTATCCTTTTTTTCCTTTGAGACAAATTTTATCAATAAGTAGTAATTAATGCTCCTAAGTCAACAAACAACATCATCAACAAACAAAATGTTTGGGATTCAGAAAATACTTCAAAAGATTATGAAGAAAAAGAACATCTGGCAATGAAACCCAATTTACTTCTCATACTAATGTATAAATATAGCTATTAGCTACTAACAGAAAACCATCAACTAACTCATCAAAATACTGTTCTGCAACTCCAGTTCAACCAAAGAGAATTATAGATGTAACATAAAAAACAAGATTCTGGAAATAATGCTCCTAAGTCAAAAAACAATATCATCGACAAACTTCACCAATCGACCAGAAACCATTTCAGGAGGTGCAAGCCAGGATTTCATTACCTCGATAAATGTCCAGAAGTTCGGGAACATCCTTCTTGTACCTCTCGATATAGTTCTTCAAGAAAATCTTCTCGGACATTGACAGCAGGGATGTGATTGCCACATTCTTCAGCCCCTTCTCATTCAAAGCCTCAGCAACAGCCCACCTCGGCTTCATTCTCCTTTCGAGGCTGTACCCAAGAATCCAAGAGCACCGGGCCACGTCACCTGGTGCCCACCCTAATTTATCAACCAGAAAACCCATACTCTTCAATATCTTCTTCTCGGACAAGGCCATACAAAGCGGCTGATTCAGAAAGGCGGTCCTGATGTCGGATTCCGACCAGCCGCACTTTCTATAAACCTCCATCTTTCGCTTGAGGGTCGACTCATTCAAACCCACCAAAACCTGAATGGCTTTCAAAAACGCATTATTGGACACGTCAAACCCCATTTCTATTGCACGATTCATGCACGAGGATAACTTCTCCCGAGGAGCCAAGAACATTCTTGGCTCGTATGTGACCAGTGAGATGAGAGATGGCTGAGAGACCCCGCAGGCCTCAAGAAACGAGAAGTTGGACGAGAGGTCGTCCACCCGGCCCCAGCGGAAGAACTGGGGAGCCCGTTTAAAGACTTCAACAGCCCCTTCGTCCGACCCGAACAGGTTTTTCAGGAAATCGTATAAGGGGATGATTGAGCTCTCAAGGCTGCGCCAGAAGATGGAAGGGTTCCGGGACAGCCTGCTGGCCAAGATGGGGAGGGGAACGCCAATGGAGGCGAAAAACTCAAGCTTGGGCAAAAGGGTTTTGTCTGGGCAGGCCGAGAGAACGTTCGGAAACCGGGTGACCATTACAGAGATGTCGGCGGGCGTGAATCCGTACTCTCTGAGGAGATTCAAGACCGCGTCTGGATTTTCAGGCGATTTCAGCTGGAGTTTACTGGAGGCGCGGACGGCGGCTTCTGGGGCCAACGCGCATGAGCTGACGAGGTAGGAGAAGGTAAAGGATTTCTCGGGGTCATTTTCGCGAACACCTTGCGGTGGTTTCCTGGTGGCGAACGCCCTGACTGCATTTTCAAAAGTCCGAAATTGAGAGGTGGCGAAAATAGAGAGATCCGGTGGGAGCCTGAGTCGTCTGCCTCGGAGAATCGCGAACATCGATTCGAAATCTGATTTTGAATTCAACGGACTTGGTGAGCTGACGAGCAGACGGAGAGTTTGAAGTTGCGTATCGGTATATGCAGTCTTTTTCGGCGATTTAGTAGGAAGCGTTTTCTTGAAATTTCTGAGGGAAGTAAATAATATCGCTTTTTACAATCAGCACTTTTTGTGTTCCTTCTATGTTTTCTGTTTTTAGCATTATCAAGGAAATAAGAGCACTCTCAAATCTCGATGGATAAAATATTTTAAGCTTCAGCCAAGTTGTCTAACTTCTAGTGCGTGTTTTTATATCTATTTAATCGCTCTAACTTTATGTGTCTATACGTGGCATGTTAGAATAGCACATGATCTAAAATTTATTTTATGCTTATTATGATTTTTAAAAACTATAAAATTCGTGATTGACTCAAGTTATAGGAAAATGCTACAATCCCGTTACGGAACCATTCCGTTGGGATTGTAACCGTTAGATCATCAAGTAACCGTCAATGATAATTGATCTAACGGTTACAAATCCCAACGGAATGGTTCCGTAACGGGATTGTAGCCTTACCCCAAGTTATAAACGTATGTTAAAAGTTATTATATTCATAAAAAATATTTATTAATATTAATTAAAAACTAATAAAGTTATTTATCAATTAAATAAATTTATGACATGACATGAGGTAGAAAAATTACTATAATGCAAGATGAGCACGTCATTTTAAATATCATAATAATTATTTGAAAAATAAGATAAACACTTCTCTTAAAAAAATAAATATAAATTTTATAACTATCACGTGTATAATTACACGAGTGATCACATTGGCTCACTCGAGAGACACCGTTGTGTATTCCTCATTTTCAGGCGCTGGTTGTTTTTTTTTTTGTTTTTTGTTTTTTATATTTCAGATTCCATGTTAGATTCGTATTGTCATTGTTCTATTATTACATCAACTTCTTGCAATTATCATTCGTTTCAGTTATTGTATGTATTAGAAAATTCTTAGAATCAATATAACATCTATATAACATGAAGAGAAATTAATGTAGTATATGTGGAAAGATATAATTTGAAAAGTTTAAGTAATCAAATAATTGTTAAATGTGCAAGCATTTGGTGTTTGGTGAATACTCGAGCAAATCTAACGAGTTGTAATCATGCATTGAGGATGCTAGAACTCTAATAGGGTTCAACGAGATAAGTAGGAAAAAATTGGGCACGATTTGGAATCCGAATGAGCGCGTGCAGGCTCATAGCACGTGGGTGCAACTGGCTCCGTCACGACCCGCGATACCTGCTAGCATCTGATTCCACAATTTTCAACTGGGCAACACTAGTCGAGACCCACATGGGTCCTGTCCCTTGTAAGCCGTCCTTTGACTTTCGAGTGCGTCCATTCTCGTCCGGGCATGCCTCAAAAGTTGTGTTTTAACACTTAAACCTCATGAGGTGGTTTCCTCTATCTATAAATACTCTCATGCATGAATCATTCAATGCACTTGTAATTAAAGAGCTCTTACATTACATTTTTCAAAGTTTATATGGCATGATGTGTTATTTAATTTTTAATTGAGTATTAAGAATTTCAAAGTTCATCGAAAACTTGTATATTTCAAGTATATGTAATATACAAGTCAAAAGTTGTCTTGAAGGCATCTGCCGCTAACCGTGAGTATTTTTCAGAGCAATTTCGTTTGAAGGAAAAAGAATTACTGCATGCCTCGACTTTCATTTTTGCTTCTATTTTCTTCATCTTCCTCAAGTCATTTTCTTGAATATCACATGCCATCCAATAAAAATCTTAAGACGAAATTTGGTGAGTTCATAATATGGCAACCGAAGAAACCAAGCGTTTTTCAATTGCTAGGCCAAGTTCTACGCCGGCTATCAATTCATTCACTCGGATGGTAGCCGCCCCGTCCAAGGCAAGGGACCGCCTAATTCAACTCCATAACAAAAGGTGACATTTTATCTACCACCCTTTCCCTTCTTGTTTCCTCACGACCATTCAGTTGTCAGTAGTTCCTCAGGAAGACATAGATACATGTAGCGTATGGAGCCAGATGTTTGGCGTATAATGATTTCTAGTGTAGAAGTCTCATACTTAAAAAGAGGCTAGACGACACACTCTATAATGTGTAAAGTTCAATTAGGACTTCCAATGAATGATGGTCAACTTGGGATTGATAAGATGGTTATCTTTTACTTGATTTGAGCATGAATATAAGGACATTGTACTATGCTCCAACTCTAAGCATGATTGTCAAAGGTGTGAGAAAATCCAAAGATGTTTGGGCTTCAGAAAATACTTCAAAAGATTATGAAGAAGAAGAAGAACATCTGGTTCTGGCTATGGAACACAATTTGCTTCTCATAATAAATACTGACAGAAAACCTCAACCAACTCATCAAAAGAGTGTTTAAACCATTCTGCAACTCCAATGCAACCTAAGAGAATTACGAATATAACATAGAAAACAAGATTCGGGAAATAATGCTCCTAAGTCAACAAACAATATCATCAACAAACTTCACCAATCGACCGGAAACCAATTCAGGAGGTGCGGGCCAGGATTTGATTACCTCGATAAATGCCCAGAAGTTCCGGAACATCCTTCTCGTACTTCTCGATATAGTTCTTCAAGAAAGTCTTCTCGGACACTATGAGCAAGGACGTGACAGCCGCATTCTTCAGCCCCTTCTCACTCAAAACCGTAGCAACCGCCCACCTCGGCTTCATTCTCTTTTCGACGCTGTACCGAAGAAGCAAAGGGCACCGAGCCACGTCACCTGGTGAACACCCAAATTCTTCGACGAGAAAAGTCATACTCTTCAATATATTCTTCTCGGACAAGGCCATACAAAGCGGCTCATTCAGAAAGGCAGTCCTGATGTCGGATTCCGACCAGCCGCACTTTCTATAAACCTCCATCTTTCGCTTGAGGATCGACTCCTCGTAACCCAAAACCCGAAGGGCCATCAAGAATGTATTATTGGTCACGTCAAACCCCATTTCTATTGCTTGACCCACCCACAAGGATAACTTCTCCTGAGGAACCATGAGCATTGTTGGCTGGTACGTGAGCATGGAGACGAGAGATGGCCGAGGGACCCCGCAGTCCACAAGAAACGAGAAGTTGGATGAGAGGTCGTTTACCCGGCCCCAGCCGAAGAACTGGGGAGCCCGTTTAAAGACTTGAACAGCCTGCTCATCTGACCCGAGCAGGTTTTTCAGGAAATCGTATAAGGGGATGATTGAGCTCTCAAGGCTGCGCCATAAGATGGAAGGGTTCCGGGACAGCCTGCTGGCCAAGATGGGGAGGGGGACGCCAATGGAGGCGAAAAACTCAAGCTTGGGAAAAAGGGTTTTGTCTGGGCAGGCCGAGAGAACGTTCGGAAACCGGGTGACCATTACAGAGATGTCGGCGGGTGTGAATCCGTACTCTCTGAGGAGATTCAAGACCGCGTCTGGATTTTTAGGCGATTTCAGCTGGAGTTTACTGGAGGCGCGGACGGCGGCGTCTGGGGCCAACCCGCATGAGCTGACGAGGTAGGAGAAGGTGAAGGATTTCTCAGAGTCATTTTCGCGAACACCTGGCGGTGGTTTCCCGGTGGTGAACGGCCTTGAAAAGACTGCTTTTTCAGAAGTCCGAAATTGAGGGGAGGCGAAAATAGAGAGATCTGGAGGGAGCCTGAGTCGTCTGCTACGAAAAAAGGCGAACATCGATTCGATCTCTGATTTTGAATTCAACGGACTTGGTGAGCTGACGAGACCAGACGAGGATTTGAAGATGTGTGTCGGTATTTGCAGTCTTTTTAGGCGATTTAGAGGGAAGTATATCGCGTTTATTGAAATTTCTGAGAAACGTTAATATATCGCGTTTGAGCACTTTTTGGGTTCAATTTTATTTACCTTATAAATATTTTGTTCTATGTTTTCTTTTTACTCTTTAACAATATCGACTCTCAGTGGTTGTAATTATGTGTTTTTATAATTTTATTTATTGAATCTCGTGCTTTAATTTTACTAGTACATATCCCGTGTGATGCACGGGACAAAGATATTAAATGAGTTATTTTAACACTCTTGTCCGTTTATGTCTAAAAAATAATAGAGTTATTATCTATTTTTTACCTCTTTTAATTAACGTTAAATCTAAAAAACAATAGGGTTATTATAAGTTTTTTTCACATCTTTTAACCAGCGTTGTTTTTTTTAGCAAGAACATTAAATATGAGCATGTTAAGGCTAGCTTGTAATTAATATATTATCTCACTAAAATATTTATACTAATAAAAATTAATTTTAGCATATAAATTTATCCCTTGATATAAGAGAAAGTAACAGTTTTACTTATTGTTGTTCAGTATATAATATTTAATTATTATTTTATTATATAATAAAAATGAATATTGTTAAATTGTGTAGTAGAATTGTTATAAAATTATATGAATTATTTTTGTTACAATATGGATTTAATATCTTTAAAAGATTTGATAATATAACAATAATATATTCTTAATGATATAATAATACGAGATACGGATTTACATAATACTATGGATTTATTCCTTAATGTTAAGATATTGAATTAGGTAATATATGAATCACTAATTTGTAATCTGTCTCTTTTTATATTGAAAATAATCATGTGATTGAGTAGAGATAACAATTATCTATAAATTCCTTCATTTTAGGAATAGGTTTTAAATTGGTCCAAGTGTTGAATGCAGTCCGATTCTCTTGTAACTAAAATGAGAAGAGATTTTGAATTTCAAATTTTCACTTCAAAACCACACGTAAATTTGGATGCAGATTTTATTAAAAATAAAATGAGAATAGATTTTGAATTTCATATTCAATTTAATATATGTCAAAATTCTCAAAAATGAATTCAACAAAACCCATAATTTTAGGGGCATTTAATGCTACCATATTTTATGATTTAAAATATCTAAAACTTTCTAAATATGGTGTGCAATTAATTATTTTAAAAGATGAACCGCTTTTGTTATCAAAAAATGTGAGTACAATTTTGAATGTACACCCCGTCCAAATATCAATTTTATTTTAAAATAAAAATTGCACGTAGTTTTAACCAATTTACACACTTTTTTTGAAAGAAAAAATTATTCATTAAGTTGGAAGAATTGGTTAGAAATTATACAACTATTTGTTTCGTAAATTTGTATCCAATTTGCACGGTTTTATAATTGATTTGTATTTAGAATAATTTTCATAAATAATTGACACATTTTTTGCATAAGAATCTCTAAATTTGTTACAAAAAAAGACATGATTTAAATTTTGGTAAATAAATAAAATATGATACGAAAAAAATGGGATTCAAATTTTGCCATAAGAATCTCCAAATTTGTTACCGAAAAAATAGGATTCAGATTTTGTTTCTAAAGATTTACATGTATTTTTTCGAACTTTTCATTAATAGTAAGTCAAACATTATATTTATTTGGTCAAACTTTCTATTAATGTATTTTTCCAACAACCTCCTTATATATATATAGATATGTCGATTTGTCGTGTTGTGTTAGAGTAGCCTTGTAGATTTGAATTTTTATTTATATCTGCTAAAATTTTAATTATAAAATATGTGGTTAACTCAAGTTATAAATATATTTTAAAAGTATTTAGATTTTTTATTAGTTTTTATATGTACATAAAAAATATATTATCTATTAATACTAATTAAAAGTAATAAAATTATTTATCAATTAAATAAATTTATTTGAAATTTTGTTATATGATATGAGTTAATAGTTATTATAATGCATGATGATTAAATAGTAGACGTAACACATGTCATGTTAAAAATAAATAATAGTGCATTTAAAAGATGTATTTAGAAAAAAAAAAATATATAATTCTCCCTTTAAAAAAATAAATAAATATAAATTTCACAAGTTATAACTATCACATCTATAATTACAATGGTTGACCGGAGTGGCTCATTCGAGAGGCAACATTGTATATTTCTCTTTTTCAAGTGCTGAACTTCCTGGATTTCAAGGACATATTCGTGTTGTCATTGTGCTATTACTAAATTAATTTTCTACAATTATCATTCGCTCCAGTTATTGTACGTATTGAAAACTTTTATCTATGTATTTTGTCTTTAGATCGTTCATTCGGAATATGTGATGAATGTTGTATAGTAAGAAAACCTGATTTGTACCTATAAATGAAAGGCTTAGAAAATTCTAAAAACCAATATAAGGTGAATGGGAAACTAGTATAAGTAAAAAAATATAAGTTTGAAACAAAAAATTAGAGTATAAGTAACTAATAAATTTGTCAACTTTGAAAGAATTTGGTATTTGTCGTATACTCGGACAAACCTCACGAGTTATAATAAAACCATGAGCATGCCTGAACTCTAATAGTGTTTAATTTTGACAAGTAGAAAAAAAATTGGGCACGATTTGGAGTCTGGATAAGTGCATATGGGCTCACGACACGTGGACGTACAACTACCTCTATCGCAGTCTGCGATACCTACTCGCGTCCGCGGCCAATTTTAAACTATCCAGTGCCCGTCGTGACCCATGATGAGTCGCATCCCCTGGTGTCCGTAAATTGTCCTTTGACTTTCGACTTTCGAGTGCGTCCATTCTCGTCTGGGCATGTCCCAAAATTATGTTTTAACACTTAAACCTCTTGTGGTGATTTCCTACATCTATAAGTACGATCATGCATTATCATTCAATGCAATTGCAATTAAAGAATCGTGCATTATCATTCTATGCACTTGCAATTAAAGAACCTTACATTACATTTTTCAAAGTTCATATAGCATAGTGTTATTTAATTTTTCATTAAGTATTGAGAGTTTCAAACATTCGCATTTGTTTATCGAAAGCTTGTATATTTCAAATATGTAATATACAAGTGAAAAGTTGTACTTGGAGGCGACTACCGCTAGCGGTGAGTAATTTTCAGAGCAATTCCATTTTAAAGAAAACATAATTACTAAGTGCCTTAACAATCATTTTTGCTTCTATTTTTTTCATATTCCTTAAGTCATTTTCTTGAATTCTACATACCAATTACCATCCAATAACAATCATTTTTGCTTCTATTTTTCCATCTTTATTAAGTCATTTTCTTGAATTTCACATACCAATTACCATCCAATAACAATCTTAAGATGAAATTTAGTGAGTTCATAATATAGCAACCGAATAAAATCAAACTGTTCTTTAAGTTCAAGGCCGAGTGCTATACTAGCTATCATCCAAACACTCAGATCGTAGACGACCTCGTCCGACAAAGGACTGCCAAACTCAACATCTCTAATTTTAAGAGGTGATAACAAAACGCGTTATTTGATTTCACCACTCTTTTTCTTTCTCGTTTCCTAATGGAAGATCCTTCGTCGTTCTTATGGAAGACAACGATACACGAAGGTGTATCGTATGGTTTTGGCGCATAACAATTTCTTATGTAGAAATCTCATACTCTAAACAACATACTCTATAATGTGTAAATTCCGGTTAAGACGTCCAAAGAATTACGGAATCCTTAAGAAACAAAGTACAAAACGAACAACTAGACATGGCCAAATCCGGTTCCGGCAGAGGCGGATCTATGTGTACTTTAGAGGGCCATTGTCCCCCCCAAGATTTGTAATTTTTAGTGTATATATATGTGATAAGTATATCATTTTTCGCATAAAATCATACAATTATATTAAAATAGTATTTGTTTTACTCTTTCTACTAATAATTCAACTACAATTATACTCTTTTTACAATTTTGTATAAAATTTTTCTAATTTATATAAATTGAATGTATAGTAAATATGTGAAAAAATAAATATTGTTAATTTTTCAAAAAGAAGACCATATAAGATATGCTTAATGAAAAGAAAACAATATCAAACTATTAATATTTAGTCAATCATTAATGAAATTCATGAGAGCTGAGAGGGCGTTTTCAATGTAAATTTGTTAATGTCAATGTTTGAAACTTTATAATTCTGGATCCGCCCCCAGGGTTCCGGGTAAGGTTCGGGGCAGAACAGCCGGGTTCGGGCCAAGGGTTGGCCACCCCTGAACTAGCCCGAACATATGCACGGGCCAATTAGGCGAACCGACGGTTCTGAACTGCCGGTTCCGGACCGATTTGGTGAACCGTCCGTTCCAAGATGGCCCGGTTCATTAAAAAAATAAAAAAAAATGAAAAAATTTCAAAAAAAAGGGGTAGAACCGCCGGACCGGTTCCGCCGGTTCAAAAGGTGCATATATAAGGCCCGAAACTGGCCCGGTTCAAGACCCGTTGACCACGGGCCCGGTTCCGGTCTGATTCGGGTCGACCCGGCGGACCGGATCGGACCATGGCCATGGCTACGAAAAACGTTAGAATTAAGAAGTTGTTTATTGGTACATCCCTTCCTTACGATTTTCTTTTTTTTTTTCTTTTTCTTTTTGGCTGAGAAATTGATAGTGAACAAAGCATTTCAAGCGGGGACAATTGTCGAAAAGATGTACCTAAGAACTTCAAGAGTTATCTCCGGCATAAATACAAAGCTTGCGGATTTGATCCCTCGACTTCAAATAGAAGAAACTAATCGAAAATATGAAGTATTAGTCAAATGAAGTAAGATAGAGGCAAAGGCAAATTGTAAGGAGCGTAACAATGCATCTGAAGGCAAACCAAACTGAAAAGACAAGAAAAATAAAAGGGGTAGCTAGACCTTGTCAAATTGGTAAAAAGATCGTACGAAATGTCAAGAATTGTAAGAACGGGCTCGATTTTTCCTTCATGGTTTGAGTATTTAGTCGATTAAAAATCCACGTTACTTGACTGTGAAGATGCCGCATTCAGCATCAACCCTTTTGTTAAATTCCATTAATAAGTTGTATGTGACAAACAATACGTTCATTTAGGAAATTATACCAGTTTATATAGTTTCATCGACTGGTTCTGAGTAATAATAAACTAGAGTTGATATTTACTTGGAAATCGAACATCAGTTTACTTAATTTCCCTCATGGCACTTCATATATTTAGGGGCTCATAAGATGGGTAACTCTTTCCTTGATTTTGAGCATGAATACAAGGGCATTGCTAAGCTCCAACTTTAAGCATGATTGTCAAAGGGGTGAGAAAATCCAAGGAGGTTTGGGCTTCAGAAAATACTTCTAAAGATTGTGAAGAAAAAGAACATCTGGCTATCAAACACAATTGAATTGTCATTCTGGTGTGTATATTACTACTAACAGAAAACCATCAATCAACTCATCAAAATACTGCGAAGAGGACTACTGATATAATATAAAGAACAAGATTCTGGTAATAATGCTCCTAAGCCAGCAAACCAATTCATCAATTAACTTAACCCATCAACCAGAAATTAATTTAAGAGGTGCGGGCCAGGACTCAATTACCTCGATAAATGTCCAAAAGTTCGGGAATATCCTTCTTGTACTTCTCGATATAGTTCTTCAAGAAATTCTTCTCGGACATTGACAGCAGGGACCTAACAGCCACATTCTTCAGCCCTTTCTCACTCAAAACCGTAGCAACTGCCCACCTCGGCTTCATTCTCTTTTCGATGCTGAACCCAAGAAGCAAAGGGCACCGAGCCAAGTCACCTGGTGCATACCCTAATTTATCAACCAGAAAACCCATACTCTCCAGAATCTTCTTCTCGGACAAGGCCATACAGAACGGCTGACTCAGAAAGGCGGTCCTGATGTCAGACTCCGACCAGCCACACTTTCTATAAACCTCCATCTTGCGCTTGAGGAGCGACTCGTCAAAACCCAAAACCCGAACGGCCTTCAAAAAAGCATTATTGGACACGTCAAACCCCATTTCTATTGCTCGGCCCACGCTCAAGGATAATTTCTCCTGAGGAACCATGAGCATTGTTGGCTGGTACGCGACTAGTGACACGAGAGATGGCCGAGGAACCCCGCAGTCCAGAAGAAACGAGAGGTTCGACGAGAGGGCGTCCACCTGGCCCCAGCAAAAGAACTGGGGAGCCCGTTTAAAGAATTGAACGGCCCCCTCATCCGACCCGAGCAGGTTTTTCAGGAAATCATATAAGGGGATGATTGATTTCTCAAGGCTGCGCCATAAGATGGAAGGGTTCCGGGACAGCCTGCTGCCCAGGATGGGGAGGGGGACGCCAATGGAGGCGAAAAATTCGAGCTTGGGCAAAAGGGTTTTGTCTGGGCAGGCAGAGAGAATGTTCGGCCACCGAGAGACCATCGTAGAGATGTCGGCGGCCGTGAATCCGTACTCTCTCAGGAGATTCAAGACGGCGTCTGGGTTTTCAGGCGATTTCAGCAGGAGTTTACTGGAGGCGCGGACCGCGGCATCTGGGGTCAACTTGCAGGAGCTGACAAGGTAAGAAAAGGTGAAGGATTTCTCAGAGTCATTTTCACGAACACCTGGCGGTGGTCTGCCGGTGGTGAACGGCCTGGAAAACACCGCATTTTCAGAAGCCCTAAAATGACGGGCGGCCAAAATAGAAAGCTCCGGTTGGAGCCTGAGTCGTCTGCCACGGAGAATCGCGAACATCGATTTTCCGATTTTGAATTCAACGGACTTGGTGCGCTGACGAGCATACGAGGGTTTGAAGAAGTGAATCGGTATTTGCAGTCTTTTTCAGGGATTTAGACGGAACCGTGTCGCGTTTCTTGAAATTTCCAAGCAATGAGCACTTTTTATGTTCAATTTGATTTACCTTATAAATATATATTTTGTTCTATTTTTTTTTTTCTTNATGTTTCATTTTTCCTCTTTGGCATTATCAACTTCTAGTGGGTTAAACATGTGTTTTATAAATCTATTACTACAATACTCGTGTAGTACATGGTAGGTCTGTAAACGAGTTGAATTGAGTCGAGCTCGAGGCTTAACGAGTCAATCTTGAGTTTTGACGAGCCGAACTATAAAATATTATATAAAAATTCTCTTTTCGAGCTGAGTCGAGCTTCACTCGTTAACCAAACGAGCTTTAAATGAACTCAAGCTCAGCTCGTTAAAGCATCGAACTCGAGCCGAACCGAGCCGAGTCAGATTCGTTTAATTTAATAACACTACTACACAGGTACTTATTAAGAAAATTATATTTAAAATTAAATAATAAAACAACAAAAATTGTTTTAATTTTTAAATACCCTATTGAAAAAATATATTATTATTTATATATAAAATGTAATTGTCACTTACACGACTTACTATCTTATATTATATATATATATATATATATTTTAATTTATATCATATAAATACTTAGTAGTTAAGTTAGTTTAAATAATTTTATTCGTTTGAATTAATATTAATAGGTAATTTAATTTTAATTATGAAGATAAATAAAAATATTTTATTTATTTTGTATGTATATTATAGATATTAAATCGAAACTTATCAAGACATTATTAATTTGATGTATTATAAATAAAAAAAATTGTTAATATATAAAATATTGTTAACTTTTAAATATATTTATAAAATAAGTTAGTAAATTTGTTATAATTTTAAAATAAATATGATGAAGAAAGAAAGATTGAGAAAATTATACATTATAAAATACGTCTACAATAATCTTAAGGTGGAATTTGGTGAGTTCATAATATAGCAATTGAAGAAAACCAAACTAGTGTTTCAACTGCTAGGTCAAGTGCTACACCAACTATCATCCATTCACTCATATGGTAGCCGCCCCCGTACGACAAGGGACAGCTAAAACTCAATGGCTCTGATTTTAAGAGCCAATAAAAATGTGATTTTTGTTCCCGTTTCCTCATGGAAGATCTTTTATTGTTCCCACGGAAGACAACGATACACGAAGGCGTATGGAGTCAGATGTCTGGCGTGCAATGATTTGTTGTGATAATTCTTATACTTAACGAACTAGACGACATACTCTATAATGTATAAAGTCTGGTTAAGATGTCCAAAGAATTATGAAATTCTTGAGAAACAACGTACAAAACAGAAAACAATAGAATTCAGAAGTTTTTTATGGTAAATTCCTAGTGTACAATTTTTT